AAGCGCTTATTCTACTGAGCTATCTCCCCGGCCCCTTTTTAACTAATATTTCTCCTGACATCTTCAAGTTCTTTAAATTGATAGCCCTTAAATGTTTTATGTGTATTTAGTTACTTCTTGTAGTGTTTGCTATAATTTCCATATCATTTCATGGACTTCAAGTTCTACAAGAGAAAGAAATCATGCACCTTTCATTTACCAATCTAGTCCCAATTCTTAAGACAGAGCCTGCTATCACTAAGTACTTAACAAGGACATTTGATGTGGCTGGATTATTCCACTCTAACTGGGCCTGTGAGTGGCCTCATCTGTTTTTACCCTTCAGTCTCCATCTCTCTGCATGCTGTGTTTCCTTGATACCACACTTTGTCGATTTAATTCAGTTTCTCAACAATTTTTTTACTTCTCTGTGTTTACTACCACTGCCCTGGTCCAAGTTCTTTTTCATCTATTGAATTCCTTTCCTAACTTTTCACTTTGAATTCTTTTAACATTTTTTTATTAATTAAGTTTATTGGCATATTTTTAGATATACATAATAATAACATAGAGAATTTGTATTTGTACATGATATATCTTGCTTTATCTTTTTTTTCCATTCTTCTCCCCTCCTTTCAATCTCCCTTCCCTTCCTTATTTACAAAAGCTTTGTTTTCATTTTTCCTTCTTTTCTTATTTATTTTCCTTTCTCTTCCTTTCCTCTTCCCTATTTCCTAATTTCACTTCCCATTTGAACATTTTCTTATTTCAGAATATCTATTGTATATTTGGTCTTCATTTACACTTTCAATTTCTCACACCACAGAAGCAATGTGATATCTATACATGTCTGTCCAAATTATTTCACTTAAGAGTATGGTCTCAAGGTGCATCCACTTACCAAAAAATGTCCCAAGTTTATCCTTCTCATGGCTGAATAATACTTCATTGTATAAAAAACAACACTGAGATTCCATCACATTCCAGAAAGAATGAGTACTGTTTAGAAGTCAACCAATGACAAATACTGGAGAGACTGTGGGGGAAAAGGAACCCTTCCTACTGTTGGTAGGAAGGTGGACTGGTACAAGCACTGCGGAAATCAGTGTGGAGATTTTTGAAGAAAACTAAAACTAGAGGTTCCATTTGACCCAGCTATTCCCCCTCTCAGTATCTTCCGAAAAGAATTAAAAACATCATCCCACAGTGAATATGCACACCCATGTTTATAGCTGCATGGTTTGTAGCAGGCTAATCTTGGAAACAGCCCAAATGCCTATCATTAGATGAACAGATAAAGATTTGTTTTTTTCATACAATGGAATGCTGTTCACTTGCATTCTGGAATGTCCCTCATATCCATCCTCCATGCTGGATCGGTGTGGCCTGAAGTAGAGATTCTTCACTTCCTACTTGAAAACCCTCTAATGGCTTCTCATTGCATACAGTATAAAGAAAAAAGTTCTTTACCTTAGATTAGAAGACACCTGGATAATCTGGTCCCTGATTATGCTACCGGCCTCATTTCTCACAGTTTAGCTTTACCCACCAAGCCTCAATAACACCAATTTGCTTATATTTCCCACCTCATATTTTATATGCTGCTTCACTTCTCTCTTCTGTGAAGAAATAACCATCACATTGTTGGGCCAACCATCCCGTGTTCTTTCCCTCTCCTCAGCTAACTGCAGTCATACTTGAAGCAGCTATTATTTCTTCCAGGGAGTCATCTTTGCCTCTCCAGGATGGGCTACATGACTGCTCTCTGGAATTTACACATCTTACAGTGTACATCTCTATTATTTTGCTAATTATATACATCTACCTTCTTCATAGGTAGTGAGCTCCTAGGAGTACCCAGTAGATACTTTATGAACATCTGCTGAAGTAACTATAAGAATGAAAACACAGCATTCAAATGGCATTAGTGCAGTTACTTTCGACAATAATAACACCCAAACTACAAGATTTACTTGGAGCTGGAACTGTCCAAATATATTACATAACTGTTTGGTTCACTGCACTTCACTCTGTTTTATGTAGTTCATGCTCTCTAACTCCTGCCACTTCCTATCAGGTCCTCTTTTCTCAGCGAGTCAAAGTCTGACAGTAATTTTTAATCATAATAAATCAGCACCTCGTTTCTCACTGTATGCACTGTACAATCTCTCTTTGTGAGTTTTCACTTGGCAAGATCTGCAAATAAAATTTTAATTTATGTCAGAGGTTTCTCTAGGCCTTCTCTGAACTCAGGAAGGTTTTCTCATTTTGTTTTTAATTCTTGGCTTCAACATGCTGTCATTCTCTTTGCTATACATGCATATTTAATGGTGTTTAATAAAAAATAAAGTGATTTATAAACATCTATGCTTTTGAAAAAACCTTAAATTTTTCATGCAATCAATAACTTCATAAATCTATGAAAAATTAACAAAATATTGACCTCTTAATTATGATCAAATTTTCTTTGCTTTAAATATTTTTATATTTCAAATGACAACTATGATGAAAGTATATAATTATGATTATAGATTAACTACTATGAATTCTTGTTTGGATTTTGTGTACAGTACATTTAATTTATATATAGATGTGCATGCATATGTGTTATATGGACATATGTATAATGCATGTGTGGCTATACATATATGTACACATACAGAGTCTTCCAAAAAGTGCGTGCACACTTCAAGAAAAGAAAAGCTTGAACAAATATTTTAAAACTAAATTTTCTGAGACATCATGAGGTTAATACAAGTTATCTTTGGTCTCTACAATTATAAAAGGTGCTCAACGTGGTAGCTATTAGCTGCCAGACATTCAGTGTTTTTCTTGTCCTATAGGTTTGTATGCAGTTTTTGGCAGACTCTGTATATATGGCTTAATGTGCATTTAATCTGTTAAACTCTAAATTAAAAGAGCTACCATGGTTAAACTTTTGGTTTAAAGTTTTCATCAGAAATTAAATAACAGTTCACATTTGGGAAGAAGCCTATCTCTATACCCAAAATATTAACATTCTTATTAAAGTTCATAGGATCTTAAACATCATATGGTTCAAACTACTTAGCTTATAGACTGAGGTTGAGAATGCTTAAGTTATTTTCTGCAGATAAAATAGATAATCATCATTAACTTTATTTTTTCCATAATTTTATTGAGAAACAAATAGCAATGAGACAGTTTCAAACCAAACTGGTAGGACAGTTTCAATAATTAACACATTGCATACATTCTTCCTAGTGGTTAATTGCTGTACAAGATGCGGACATGATATCCTATTTACAAACACTATTAGAACAAATTCCTCTATTCATTAAGAGAATGTAACTATATATCTATCCTAACCATTTTGAATACACAGATACAAAATGGACATTAATCTGTATCCGCTTTTTTGTTTAGTTCTGTTATTTGAATACCATTAACTTTAAAGTCAAAGGTCTAGATTTCCTAATTCCAAGCTTAGTTCTCTTTCCATATCCAAAAAGGCTGTTAAGAGAGAAGTACAAGGTACTCACCTGAACTGCTTTAAGTGATCCAGGTTTATTTAATCCATATTCAGATAATAGTGCTCTACGTATGCATGTTAACTGCCATTCATGTAGCTAAGATTATTTTTAACACCATGACAAAAAGAAAATCAGCTGATTAGAGCATAAGAATTACTAAATAGCTAAAAAAGTTTGTAGCAGCTTTCAAAGGAAAACTGATTACTGAATTATAAATCCTTCATTTTCTGTGTTTCTAATCCCAGGCAACCAACCTTACCCAAATGGGAGATCAGAAATGAAATTAAAGGCAATGCTGAAAATTCTAAGGAACTTAAGTTGCTGAATGTCAGAAGGAATTGCTTTGATAGGATTATTTCTCATTTTCAGTACTTGTAAATTTGTAAGACAAAGAACCTGAAGAACAGAAAAGAGAAATAAACATGAATGCAATACTAAAGTAGTGAATATCTACTTGTTGTTTTTAATGAACTCTTTCAACTAGTCTATCAAAATCAACACAGTAACATAAATTTACTTACACTATCATACATCTCTATGAAACTTTTAGTAAATCTTTAAAACAAGTGACCTGTATTAACATGCATGATATTAAGACAGTTAAACTACTGTACTCATATGTCCTGGAATAAAAAATAATCTTCTCCTAAATGGGAAAAGTTGCCCTTTTTGAATCATGTAAAGGTGAGGAAAGGAGGAGACAGCTGAAGAATCAGGAAAATAAGTAGGATTAAGCTTTGTGGTCAATCACATGTCAGCTATCATAGCGAGGCTACTTAACAGCGATACCATGGTAGCTTCATCTCCACAGATTTTTACTATGAAAGTTAAAACAGACATATCACTTAAATCTATGTTCTTTGTTTAATATTTATTGTTCTCTGTTGAATCGTAATAAAGCTTCATATAAGCTCTTTTTAAAGATTCTATTAAATCTTTTTTATGATTTAAAAAATCTAAAACTAGTGGAGTAATTCTTGTGACTAGGAAAGGTGAGTTTCCTGAAATGTGAATTTTCTAAGGTTGTTTTTCTTTTTCAAAGTTATTTAGGCTTGCTGGAGACTCTTGCCTTTTCATATAAAGCTTAGTATTTTTTTATTTTTTATTATTTTATTTTATTTTTGGTATCAGGGATCAAAATCAAGACCTTGCACTTACCAGGAAGGAGCTTATGCCACTGAACTATATCCCTGGCCCTAAGTTTAGGAACATCATACAAAATTGTGTGAACAAAAAGATATATAATTTTCATTGTGATTGTAATGAATCTATAGATTAAATTGGGAATAATATGTGACAGCATCAAATATTCAGTTCCATGAACATGAGGTATTCTCCAATCTATGCATGTTTAATTTCTTTCAATAATGTTGACATTTCACATTGCAAGTTTTACACTTCTGTTAAGCTACTCCTGAATATATTATTCATTTTCACACTGTATAAACAGAATTGCTTAACATCAGGTTGTTTTTTGCTAGTATAGAAAAATAGAATTAATTTTTATATATTGAACTTCTCTATTGCAACCTTGCAAAAATCACTCATAGTTCTAGCAGTATGCTAGTGGCTTAGTATTTCTATATGCCAGACCACGTCATCTGCAATTAGAGATAGTTTTACGTTTTTTCATTTTTTTATTAGAATTTAAAAATGTAACTTTAATATAATCAGAAAGGATTATTAAACTTAGATGCAATATTTGTATATCTTTATGAGTTAATTATGTAATTATTACCATAAATAATTACAGTAATTCAATACATATATACAATGTATAGCAAGCAAATAATATTCTTTTTTTTTTAACTTGGATGTCTTTTCTTTTTTTCTTCTTTCTTTTCTTAAATAATTAATTGCCTTAGTTAGCTATTCCAGTTTCCAATGTTGATTAGAACTGGCAATAATGCACATATTTATCTTGTTCCTGATTTAGGAGGAAAACTTTCAATCTTTCACCATTAAATATTATATCAATTGTGCATGTTTTTGCATATATCTTTCATAAATTGAGGAAATCCCTTTTATTCCTAGATGTGGAGTGCTTCTGTCATAAAAGGGTGTTGGTTGTTCCAGATATGTCTTTCTGTGTCTAGAAACACTGATTTTCCTGTGTTAACTAGAGATAAAAATCACTTTGTTATGGTCTAAATTAGTTTTCTTGTTGCTGAATTTGTTCTGATAGAATTTTTTGAGAACTTTTAATCTATAGTCATAAAAGATTTTTTTCTGTAGTTACTTTTCTTATATATTTGTATAGTTTTGATATCAATGTATTACTGGTTTAATGTTCGAAGTGGAAATAGTCTTTCCTCAATTTTTCGGGGGAGAGTTTACGAAGGGTTGGCTTAACTCTATTTTAGATGATTGGTAGAATTCAGCCATGAAGACATCTAGTCCTGGATTTTTCTTTTTCAGTTAAGCGTGAGCTGCTGCATTTCTGCACATTGCTGCACTTCTGAATTTCTTTCAGTGCTAAGAAATTAGAATTAATTTCTAATTTCATTCCACTATAGCAAAAAAAAAAAAATCCCTGTGATTTTGACACCTTTTGAATTATAGATATTTGTTTGGGGGCCTAATATATGATCTGTCCTGTAAAACATTCTAGACAAATTTGAAGACTGAGCATTTTGCTGCCACTGTTTGGAGTGTTTCATAGGTAGGTGTTTGTTGGGTCTAAATGTGCTATGCAGATGTTCAAGCTAATGTATCATCTCAGACTGACAAAGTGTCCTTCTTTTCTCAGTAACAGTTTTTGTTTTAAAATCTATTTTGTCTGGTATATTTTAGTCACACCAGGTTATGTATGTTTGCATGATATATATCTGTCATACTTTTATTTTCAATTCCTTTATAGCTTTTAATCTTAGAGTATCTTCTACAGATTACATACTGGTAACCTTTTTTATTTTCTTAAAACTTAGTTTAACAATCTAGTGTGATTAGAAAATTAGTTTATTTTAGTTTTTTTCAGAATTAAAATAGTAATTTATTTTTTGTAGATTCTACAATTATGAGAACATATTTGAGAGCTTGACTCTAACATAGCCTCTGAGAATTATGTCATGGGATTTCCGAAGAAAAATTTTCTGTACTTTTTATACTTCTGCAATTAAGTCTTTTTGGATGTAATCCAAAATGTATTCACTTTATAGTTAACTTCAGGGTATGGTAAGATGCTTTTTATTGCAATTATCCACAATAATAAATTATAGCCACATATATGCAATAATAAAGATGAACTTACTTCCATGGGAAAGATAGAGAAATCATTGAATGATAAATTAAGATATACCAATTGCAAAGCCAAAGGTGTTAAGTCTGGACAATTCATGATAAAAAATCCCTAAAAGAAAGTAATATGAGATAAGATATTAATTATTACCAATAAATTCTATACATAGGGGTATACTGTTTGAAAAATTTCCCAAGACATAAAAGGAGAAATTCTATCACTATGTAGGTTGTGGCATTTTTGTGTGTTTGTATTTCAGTTTCACTTTGCTTTGCCTTTTTTGGTGGTGGAGAATCAAACCCAGGGCCTCTGGCATGCCACCCAAGTGCTCTGCCACTGGCCACACCCTGTTTCTGTGTAGTTTTTAAGTGCATTGTTCTTGGTGTGAGGTCAAGCAGCTTTGATATTTATAAGGATAATCTGCTTCTGTGAACTACCCACTCATGTGTTTGTCTGTTTTGTTGTTGTTGGATGCTAATGTAAATGGAATGATCTGGTTTTTCTTTGCCAGAAATACAACAGACTGTGTGTTGATGCAACTTCACTAAATTTGCATAGCAGCAATAGTGGCTCTCTTGTCAGTGCTAGCTATAATTCTGCAAGCTATAATTCTCAAGTGTTGAAGTTCTAGAAGATGAAAATCCCTAAAGACTAAAATCCCTGAAATAAGAACCTTAAAAAAATGAAGATCTAGAATACTGAAATCCTGAGAGGTGAAATCCTAAAAACTACAATTTTCACTGATGGGAGAGTTGGGGGTGGAAAGCTGAGTTCTTGGGAAGGCAACAGAGTATTTTCTGTTGTAGCCAAGATAGTTGCCAAATTATTAAGAAACAAAAATGTTCAATAAACTCAGGGACCTTCTGAACCAGACATGTACCGACAGAGAGGTGCCACTGGGGTTATAAAATGCATTCCATGGTGTTAATGGATTGTGTTTAGATGTCCTCCCAAAGCCTCATGTAGACACAGGCAGGGCGTTTTCAGAGGTGACTGGATCTAGATAGAATGTGCAATTGATTCAATGGTGCACAGTCAACCCTGGGGTTGATTCATGCTCACAATGAAAAAAACAGAATGGATTAAGAAGCACGATGCAATAATATGCTGCGTACAAGATTCATGGTGCAATTCTCAGATCCAAGGCACTGGGATTAAGGGTGTGAGTGCTATCTGCCCTAAGTAATCTGGATAAGATAAAAGCAGCAGAAAGACATTGTTAAGGCCCCTAATTGCTTTATTATCTTCTGTCCGTATGAACTATTGCCCCTCTACCATGGGCCACCCTGCCTTGGAAGAAGCTGATTGTGGACTGAAACCTCTGCAAACTGTGAGCTACACAAACCTTTTCTCCCTTTACCTCTGGGTGTCAGTTATTTTGTTTCAGCAATAAGAAAAATAATTAAGACACCTGGTGACCTATTCTTAGTAAGGGATTTGACTGTGAAAGTAGATAGACTTCTCAGATTTACCCCTGAATCTAACAGAAACACTAGTGCATGCTTTGCTTTGGCTAATGTATGGCACTTTCAAAATTGTCCCAATTGCATTTTTGTTTGTTTTAAAATAAATCAAATACATAGACTTTGGAGGCCAAAGAGCTCTGGGTTCAAGTCTATGCTCTGTTACTTGCTTCTTGTGTGGTCTCTGCAATTTGGTTTCATTGAGCATTAGTGTTTTCATCTGTGAGAGAAAGACTATTCCTACTTCACAGAATTATAAATTTAGGGGAAGCATTTGCTTGGCACTTAGTAAGTGGTGATTAGTATTATTGTTGTTCATCATACTGGGCTTGCACCCAATAAAAAGCTAACCTACCACTACATTTGATACAAAGTCCAAAGATTGCTGATTACTTAAAAATACAATACAGACTTCTGAATCTCACCTCTCTTATTGTACTAATAAAAGAAACACTGTAACTGTTTTGATCTGAGTATCTTTTTAAGTTTGCTAGGCTAAAGATAAACTAAAGTAGATTTTAATGTGTTCCTGGAAAAACAATCACTATTTCAATTGGAAAGAGTCCATTAATATCACAAAAACTAATCTATGTTAGAAAACTGAAAGTACAAATACTGTAATTGATAATACAACAGGCCAGGATGATTAAAAAGATCTGACATACCTTAAGATTCAGTGCATTTCTTCCATGCATTTGACAGGTTACTACGGCCAACTCAGTCATTGCTTTGACAGTTTCATATTCGGTTGCTGTAACAGTCTTAAAACCTTCACCACGTAAAATGTGGGCATCTGAATAATCTATTGTTCTTCTAGTAGTGACACCTAAATAATCAAAACAAAACATGAAACTTAACTATTGTTGCAGCCGGGTGCAGAGCAGTATGCCTACTATCCCAGCATTGTGGGAGGTTAAGGCAAGAGGATGGCAAGATGGAGCCCAGCCTGGGCAACTTAGCAAGACCTATTTCAAAATTTTAAAAAGCAGGGCTGGTGATATAGGTCAGTGGAAGGCACTGGGTTCAATCCCCAGTACAAAGTCAGGGGAGAAATGAGTCACCATAAGACACATTCTCTGAAAGAAATTATTCATATCTTTCATACACCCAATCTTGGTTAGTTCTGTTTGCCAAACTGGATCTTGTTTTGCTTTGTTTTTTAAAAAGGTAGGTAGCACAATTGTCTTTCAAAAAGAACCATGTGCTCATACATTTTTACCTGGATAATTTAGATTCCTACCTAGAAAATGTAGATCTCCCTTAATGCATGATTCCCCCATGATGCATGATTCAGATGCCCCATGTAATTTAATTCTTCTCTCTGTAGATAAGAAAATGAAAGGAAAAAAAAAAAAAAAAAACAACCGAGGAACTAGCCCAGCAGAGGGCATTTATTTTTAAATTTATTTTTGTGATCTACCTTCATCAAAAATGGCCTATGCAAATATATACAAAAGTGTAGCCAGAAAACATTTATAGAGATGCTATAAACTATATTTTACATTTGCAGTCACTCTTGTGTATTACTTCCAGAAATATTTCACAACCTCAATAATTCTTATGCCATGGCTTCTATGAGAGGAAATAAAGCATCCTACAACAACAGTAAACATGTTCAGCTTTTAATTTCCGAAATAGGTCCTTAGTGCCCATTTCAGATCAATACATATAAAGATTAACCACAGTATACAGGGTATCATGGGATACAGAAATACCTTGTCTTGGGAAAAGAAGTGGAACAAAACCCAAGTTTGTGCTGGGCTCCCTGCTCACCCTTCCTCAGGATCTAAAGCCACACAGTTGGTTTTTGTGAGGAAAAAGGAGTGGTTTGGAATTCCTTGATAGAACACTGAAGGGCTGCAGGACCCTTATACTCATCCTGAACATTCCAAGAGGGAACCATCAAAATAGAAGAGAGTCAACAAAGCAGAAATGGTAATGACTTGTTTATGCTCATGATGGAAAGGAGCTTAACAGTTATTTTCTGTCACAGACGGACACAGAACACCTAGAGTATCTACTGAAAGGAGCAGTTAATGCTTAAGTTTTTTTCTCTTCTCCTTTTTAATTTCTTATAACTTTTTTGTATCAGTTTTGCCTGCTTATATCTGATAATTTAAACAACTAATTTTAAGACAACATTATGCAATATAACAATTGTTGAATTCCTATAATTTTGGTTAGTGAAATTTTGTATTGTTTCTTATTTATTTATTTACTATTTTGTATTTTCTTTAAAAATAAAAATAAAAAGAGAATACTTGGAGCAAATGGTGAGCTCACAATGGGGCACTCTGCTATACATACTTTGTTAAATACAGCTATTAAAATATTTACTTTTTCTGCTATAGAATTTTACTTATTTTTAAACAAAAAGGTATAGTTCTCTGATGAAATTTTCCAACCTTCTCTTTATTTTTTTGAACATCCCTGTTTGATATTCCAGTATTTGAATCACCCATGGCACTCTATAGATTGCCTATTTATTTCTATTGTATTACAGACATTTTACCTATCATGGTTCTTAGGATTCCGTGTAATTTTTTAATGCTGAATGTTTTTGGAAGAAAGGGATAAAGGAGCCTGAATAATTCTCTAACAACTGTTTGCTTTTCTTCGAATAAGTACAAAATATTGCTTTGACTTTCAGAGACTGGAATTAAGCTTTGTTAGGAATAGTCTTAGTTTTATCCTTTCTTCTAGAATATCATTCTTAGTCCTAAAGCACTGATCTTCTAGGTCCTCAACTAAATGCCTATGCCTTTCCCTGTGCTTTGACAGTGCTTGAACTCCATTATCTGCCTCTTGTGAGACTGAAAAAATTTATGCTCTATTTCTTAGCGTCTCAGCTGATGTTGTGAGGTGTTTTTCAGGGTCTTTTAAAAATCTAAATTATAATTTTATTCAAATTTGAATTAGAAGTATATATTCTTTGAAGTTACAAAATAATAAAATAGAATCTTATACTTACTCATCTTGAAAAATAGTTTACAAACACAAGAATTTGTTTCACTAAGCTAAGAGGGGGTAACTCAGTGTGTAGAATTGGTGCTTATTTATTTATTTATTTATTTATTTATTTCGAAGAGTAAAAACAGAAGCAAAAACAAATAGAAGAGACAGAGTTACATTCTCTTAATTAATAGAAGGATTTGTTCTAATGGTGTTTATAAATAGGATATCATGTCCGCATCTTGTACAGCAATTAACCACTAGGAAGAATGTATGCAATGTGTCAATTATTGAAACTGTCCTACCAATTTGGCTTGAAACTGTTTCATTGCTATTTGTTTCTCAATAAAATCATGGAAAAAAAATAAAATAAAATCATGGAAAAAAAAAAAGATTCAGCTAGTGGCCAAGGGATGAAGCATCAGTAACCCTTAGAGTTCTACTACATCTCAGCTGACATTTACTGCACCCTGGACTTGACTACATTTTTCAAGATGCCATTTAAGACTCTTAGTGACTAAATCATTGTGCATTCCATGTGTGTTTTAAGTAGCTTAGTCTAAATGGCTTTGTCACTGTTAATTACTCAGTAAGGACGTAAAATGAAACTCCAGTTGTAGGGAGGAAGAAGTTGTTGATGATCTAGTAAATAAGAAATAAAAGTGTCTGTTCCCCCCAAAATAAAATAAAATAAAATCCATGGTTATACAAATCCCTTATGTAAAATACCATAGTATTCACATGCAATATATCTGTATAAATTCTATATTTGCATTATATATTTTATATATTGCATTAGAGGTTATATATTTGCATGAAATTTATCTCCACACATACCTTTCTACATACTTTAAATCTCTTTAGATACTTAGGATATCTATACAATGCAAATAAATATTATATAAATAGCTGTGTAGATCATAAAATAATGACAAGATAGAGTCTATACATGTTCAGTACAGAAGCAATATTTTTCTGAATATTTCTAGTCTTCCATAGTTGAATCTGTATGTGCAGAACCTGGAGGGTTGGCTGTCCAAGCTGGACTATGTTCCCTCCAAAGACTAGGAGAAAATACTACTTGCTCCTCCTAGCTTTCCACGGCTTATAGCAGCATCTCTAACCTCTGAGAAAAAAAAAAAAAAAGAAAGAAAGAAAGAAAAGAAGAGACAGAAACGGGGTAACATACAATAATACATATGTTACAGACTTTCAAAACAGGCATAGCTAATTAACCATTGTCATATTATCTATTTTTATCATCAAATCTGTTGCTCAGATTAACAGATACATTTATGCAAGATTGGGGAAATAATTGAATATTGACATTTGCTTTCAAGAAATCTTAATCTTTTCCTTGTCCTTTTTGTTTTATCTTATTTAGAAAGTATAATAATTCATAAGACTTTAGAAATGGTATACACTTAGAAAACCAAGACGAGAGGCATTTAACCATGGGTTTTGTATTACACATTTTTGTCCTCAATGTAGTTGCTCAGATCGCAGATATCAGCATACAGAGTTAATCAAGGTGAAAATTCTAATAATAACCTGCTATTTAAAACAAAAACAAAAACAAAAAAACAGACCCGAGGATCAATGGAACAGACTAGAAGATGCAAATAGAACTACAGACACACTCAGCCATCTTATCTTTGACAAAGGGGCCAAACATGCTTACTGGAAGAAAGATAGCCTCTTTAACAAATGGCGCAGGAAAAACTGGCTTTCCACATGCCAAAAACTAAAACTAGAGCCGGATCTATCACCATGCACTAAACTAAAGTTGAAATGGATTAAAGATTTAAACATTAAAGCAGAAACACTAAATCTGCTGGAAGAGAAAGTAGGTGGAAATCTTGAAGTCATAGCAGTAGGCAGAAAATTTGTGAATAAAAACCCAATAGCATGGGAAAGACTGCAAAGAATCAACAACTGGGACCTCCTCTTATTGAGAAGTTTCTTCATGTCAAAAGAAATCACCAACAGAGTAAAGAGACAATCCATAAATTGGGAAAAAGTCATAACCATCAATCATTTAAACAAAGGACTTCTATCTAAATTATATAAAGAACTAAAAAAAAATTCAGCCGCCCAAATTTAAAGACACAATCCAAAAATGGGCATCTGAGATGAATACACATTTCTCAGAGGAAGAAATACAAGCGGCAAATAAATATATAAAAAAATATTCCACGGTGCTGGCCATTCAAGAAATGCAAATTAAAACAATGTTGAGATACAGTCTCACCCCAGAAAGAATGGCTATCATAAAGAAATCAACTAATAACAAATATTGGAGAGGCTAGGGAAAAAAAGGAACCCTTCTTCACTGCTGATAGGAATGTAGACTGGTATAATCACCATGGAAATCAGTGTGGAGACTCCCCAGAGTATTCTTTTGTAGTTGGATGGTTTAGTAATCAGTCAACACCCTTTGAGAGACTTCGTGTGTATAATTTTTTAGCTTATTTCCCTTCAGTTCTCTCCTCTCCAAGATTATGTTCCTCAAGTCCCCACTTCTGCTATCTCCTTTCTCTAATTGACACTACTTTCACTGCTATCGTTCCTACTTAACTCCCGTATTTTCCCGAAGCACACATGCTACAGGCAAAAAACCAAAGTAAAGTTGAGTTAACTCATGAGCTCCATTCTCTCAGGGATTGTAGCGCTGGAGTCATGCCTGCATTCCTTATTTTCCAGTGTCTTCAAGAGCTATTTTGTGCCTATTTTGGCAGCTATAATATTGATTTTGGCAGGGAAGTGAGATCAAGAAAAGTGGCTTAATCCTCAATCAAATCAGGAGTTAAAAGTTTATCTTAAAATTTTGTCAGATAATGATAGTAGCTATGGCTAGATTTCTATTGTTTGCTATTTCTTCTAGTTTTAATTCATTCTGTCTTTCTCTTTGTGTTCCTGAGAAGTAAAGTTATTTGCCACACACTATATTTGTGAGATTGTTGGTTGGGATAAATGAGAGTATAATAGTCCATCTGATGAGGATAACATATCCTGTCTGTCTGTCTGTCTGTCTGTCTGTCTGTCTTACTATGTTTCAGATGGGCCTTGAATTTGCTGGATTATAGACATGTACCACTATCATGTCTGGCTCTGTAATATGTCTTTAAAGATGGATTTTCATTTGTTTCTACTAAATAACTAAGGTGAAAGCACAAAGGATAGGGTTTTGCATGTGGTCTGGCAAGCAGTTGACACATAGTAAGAACACATCAGTGTTTATATTCCTAATATCAGTATAATATCTGATTCATAGTTTAAAATAACTACTGAATAGATGGCTTAAGGCCCTGAAAATTAGTGAAACATAAACATGAATTATACACATACAAAATCATAAATCTTTTATATAAGTACTGCGCGCTAACCGATTGCACCACTGGAGCTTCCATAAATCTTTTATAGAATGGTAATATTTATTATATATAGTTTCCAAAAGTGTGGTATAAATCTAGCATTTACCTTCAGGTGGTCTTGGTATATTTTCTGCCTTTTCAATTTCTGAGGCAAGAGTTTCTAGAGAAAAAAGGGAAAAAATGAAATAACTTTTGTATACTTGTGAAAATTCATTGAAGAATGTTATGACTTCATTATAATTGTTCATTATTTAATAGATTGGGGTTATCCAGGAAAATGCATTCTAGGCTAATTCATCCATTAGCCTTGGAATTCTGTTTCTGGAGTTCATCAAAGTCACTTTTAAGACATTCTCATTGTCCTTTCATACTAGTTTTCTTGAGCCTTTGAATTTTCTTGTTGGCTGTCATCAGCATCATCTGGATAGAAACCCCAGTCTGGCCTTGGCCGCTCTGTGAGGTCAGGGTTACTGTTATTGCCCTCTAACCAGGGGCTCAATGTAAGCTAAGAGTTAATTCTATCTTTCCACTGTGAAAACCCAGAGGAAGGACATCACTTGCTTACATTTCTTCTCTTCTTTTTGCTTTAACTGGCCCCTTTATTACCAACGATGATTTGATTATACTCACCTATCACAGACTGTCTTCGAGGTTTCCTTGGTGAAGTTGGTTTTGGAATGGAAATGTTAGCTGGAAAGGGATTAATGTTTAATATCACTTTACCAAAGATTCCAACATTCTGTGGGAAAGGTGCATACCACTGACTTTCTTCTCTAGTAGATGAAGTGCTAGGTAGAGGGGTTGGCACTGCTATAGTTCTCAGTGGGGATGTAACAGCATAGATCTGGCTCCTTGGAAAGAGTTGATGCTCAGGACGCACATTTTTGAAATCAGTCTCAATAATTGGGCAAGAAACATTTACAGTCTTGGAGGATGTTGAAGAAAGAATTAAAATGTTTTGTAATTTTTCATCAATATAAATATTTTCTATTTTGTGAGGTGCTTTGGGGGACTTCCTTGAACTTTCTATCAGGTTTGTTTTTTTCCTAAAAATTTGAGTAGATGCTGAATGATGACTTGGAAAAAACATAGGTGCAATAACAGTATCTGGAATGTGAGAATAGATATTTTTAGTAGATCTGTAGATAATAGGAGTCACTCTTTCTGGTTCAGGATAATCAAGGATGATATTTTGGATATGTACAACTACATGTGGTTGCCTTCTTGGAATGATGTTAGGACTGGTTGTATCCCTTTTAACTGAAGAGATTTCATCTTTAGTACCAGTAAACTTTATATGACGTGGCTTAGTTTTATCAGTCTTGGCTAAAAAGAAGAAAAACAAAATTAGATTATATTTACCAAAGTAAAACTAGTGTCTGAGCTTTTATAATTTCTCTTTGTACATTCAACCTTTTCTCCTTCTAGACATATTTCTGTGTAAGTGCTTGCTCAGCTACCAAGATGCTTGTCCATCTGATGGCATAACGTTTGAGCAAACAATTGGTGAAGTGAAAAGGCTAAAATGTATTAGACTTAGAAAGGGAAATGAGCTGTTATTGGGAGAAAGATTTGACAGACAACAGAGTAAGATATAAGGGGAAATTTCTGAGCAGTTGCCACTAAAGTGATTATCCCTACCTCAAGCCAAGTTAGGGGAACTCACAGAGAAGCATTTATGGGGAACAGGATTGTAGGCCACAGGAGAAAACAACACCTCAGTAGTGCCCTACCCACATCGTTCACTGATACTTACAGAGTACAAAAATGTACTAACCTGTCCTGTGCTGTATTCCAACTACATTAAGGTTACAGAACCCTTAATACAACGTAACCTGTGTCCAGCATTTCAGGGAGTATAAGATCAATGCTGGGTTCTCACTTTCACTTTTCAACATCACAACTCTTTTCTACTCTTAGCCCCACTTATGGAAGAGCCAGAAACTGTAATAGGAATCTGAGAAGAGAAGTTAAAAAAAATCTGTTCCATGTTATGCCTAAGATGTTTGTTATTCAGACAGATAGTGAGGTTAAGCTTAACAGCCTAAGTTGTATGGTAATAACAATAAGCTTGTCTTCTGGATGGTTAACAACCTAAGTTTGCAGACCAAAATTAGAGAAAAAGGACAGCTGCAAGGAAAGCCAACATTTTGGCCCTAGCCTTCTAAGGTCAATTAAGACTCAGGACATATGAGAACTTGTACTGTAACATCATATAACTCGGTAGTGTCCCAAATTTTCTGATCAAGGAGATTATGGGGCCAAAGAGGAAAGTGATCGATGATGTAGAGTGTGCCTAAGGAGAGTCACATGGAGAGAAAACATTCTCTCAGGCTTTCACAGAGAGCACATTGGCCAAGCAATGGCCATGACTCATCCACATGGCTGACACTGACAAAGTTTCTACAATCTGAGGTACAGGATCTCAGGATAAATCCTGAGAGGATATCACTGACCTTATCAGACCCAAAAGCTACAACTCTTGTTGCATAGGTCCTGCTTTACCTTAACTATCCAGCAGAAAAGTATAAAAATGAAGTATAAGAAGTAAAGTCATGGTATTATATTGAGCTGTAGGGGACTCAGGTCAAATATTTCTGACATTGCCAGTGTCATCCAATACTATTATGGAATATTGGACTCTTTTAGAATATTTTGCTGAGTTTACACACTTATAATATTTAAATGATGGAACTGAACAAAAACTGGGTATACAGATGAATGTCCATTTTGTATCTGTGTATTCAAAGTGGTTAGGATAGATATATAGTTACATTCTCTTAATGAATAGAGGGATTTGTTCTAATGGTGTTTGTAAATAGGATCACAAGTCCGCATCTTGTACAGCAATTAACCACTAGGAAGAATGTATGCAATGTGTTAATTATTGAAACTGTCCTACCAGTTTGGTTTGAAACTGTCTCATTCATATTTGTTTCTCAATAAAATTATGGGGGAAAAAAAGAGAAAGAAGGAAAAAGGCTATAAAAATAATGAAGATATGTTAAGTACAAAAAAAAAAGAAGTAAAAAAAAGAAGGTGGAAGAGCTGATCATACTTTTTTTGCCCTTGACTTGTATAAAAATTAGCAAATCTAGATTGAGCTGGGAGAAGGGATAAGGTTTCATTGTATGTTAGATGCAAGTACTGATTCAGACTGCAATAGTTGCTTAAGGTCTGAAAATGGGAGAGGGTTAACAGACAAAAGGCAGTAGAAAAGTCTTAGGAGAGAGAAGTACACTGCACGAGTTGAAGGGCAATAGTAAGAGAAGAACAATGTTTTCTTTTTGTCCGTATGGAGCTAACCAAACGAGTTCATGTAATAAAAAGTTACACCAATATCTTTATCACTTTGCTTTCATCTTAAAACACAAGAACAACAACAACAAAAACATAAGAACATAGCAAACACTTTTGATAGACTGCAGAACTCCTTTTATCCAATAGGAGGTGGAAGTAATTGACATTCATTATTTTGATTTATGTTCTCATTTTTCCACTTTATTCTGCAAATTTTTTGAATCAATAAACTATTTTGAATCAATAAACATTTTATATATATGGAAAAATTAGGTAAGATACTATAGTTACTATATATCACCTCCACTCCTGCACACAATTTCACCTATTCCTACATTTATCACAAGAAGGAACCAATATTTATACTTTATTAATTAAAGGCCATAGTTCACATTAGGGTTCAATCTTCACATTGTACAGTGCTACTGATTTTGAAAAAAGGCTAATGCCTCAATCTACAGTTTTAGCATCATAAACAAAATTGCTACCGCCTAAAAAGTAATTTCAGGGATTATCTAACCTTATTGTAGGTATCCTGGTAATCACTGATCTTTTTCCTGTTTCTACGTTTTGCTTTTTTCAAAATTTCAATCCACTTGAATTACAAAATATGCTGTCTTTTCAGACTGCCTGCTTCACTTACCAATATGTAGTTCAAGTGCCTCCAGATCTTCACATGGTTTGATAGTTCATGTCTTCATAGTACTAAGTAACATTATATAGTCTAGGGGTGCCACAATTTACCTCTCAACCTTCAAGCTGCTTCCAGTTTGGAAAGACTATGATTAAAACTGATATGAACATGTATGTGCAGATTTTATGTGGATGGAAACGTTTAATCTCAGTCAGACAAATACTTAGGAAATGGTTGCATTGCTGAAAAGTTTGGATAGTTTATTTTAGAAAACTTCCAAACCATCCTCAGAAGGGGTTGTACCACTTTGTGTTCCCATCAGAAATCCTCTTATCCAGAATCTAGAATCATTAGTATTTTGGAGTTTAGCCATTCTAATAAGTGTGTTATGTATGATATCTCAATGCTTTAACTTGCAATTTTTTTCATGATATATAATTGAAATTTTTTGTTTTTAAAGAGAATATAAAAATAGAACAAACATTACAACTGTTATAGAATTTCACTAAATAAAATGACAGGAATTAAACAATGGTTGTTATATTGCATCCTGTTGTCTTCAAATTAGTTGTTTGGATTACTAGATATAAGTCTGTAAGATTGGTCAAAAAATCACAACAAATTAAAAAGGAGAGTGAAAAAATTTAAGCATTAACTGCTCCTTTCAATAGACCAGCAGAAATCAGCAATACAATTATCCAACAATGACATACAGTGTTAACCATCTTACCATAGGCTTATTTGCCATGTGAATGTCTTATTAGTGAGGGTCTTTTACTCATTTTTAAAATTGGGTTATTTCTCCATTATTTAATTTAAGTGTTCTTTGTTAACTTTGGCCTTAATTCCTTTCTTACACTTCTGTTTTTCAAACATTTTCTTTCAGTCTCTGGATTGCCCTCTCATTATTTTAACAGTGTCTTAGCCAGGTGAGATCATACCTATCACCTATCACCCCAGCACTCAGGAGACTGAGGCAGGATGATTGCCGTGACTTCCAGGCCAACCTGGGCTACACGGTAGCTTCAAGGCCAGCCTGAACTACATAACGAGAGCTGTTTCAAAAGTCAAAATAACAACAACAGCAATAACAACAACAATAATAATAAATAAACATGGTAGAAGTTTAAATTTCAAAGAAGTTCAATTTATCAATTGTTTCTTTCCTTAGATTATTCTTTTAATGTTATGCCAAAAAAAAAAAATCATCACTAAGCCTAAAGTCATCTAAATTTTCTCTTGCATTATGGTTTTGCATTTGTACCCTCATGTTAAGTCTCTTTGTTTTTGAATTGGGGTCTCATTATGTTGCCCGGACTCACTCTGAATTCCTTGGTTCAGGTCATCCTCCCTAGACTAGAGATGTGAACCACCAAGTCCAGCTAGATTGTTGTTTTGCCTGTGGATGCCTAATTGTTTTAGTACCACTGCTGAAAAGACTATCTTCTTCATTGTACTATCTTTTTTCTTTTTTAAATATCAGTAGACTGTATTTCTGTGAATTTATTTCTGTGCTGTCTTTTCTCTCCTATTTATATATATGACTATTATTTTGCCAAATGCAACACTGTCTTAATTACTATAGCTTTATTACTAGTCTTGAAGTTGGGTAGGACAGTCTTATTTTTTCAGTATTATGTTCTGCATTATATATATATTTTTTGCCTTTCCATATAACTTCTATATTTTATTTTATTTTATTTTTTTATGGTACCACAGATTGAATTTAGGGCCTTGTGCTTGACAGGCTAACTTCTATATTTTAAATTTTTATAATATAAACATATTTTAATTGAGATTTTAATTTTTTTAATTTTAAGGAAGGGTCTACAGGGTGTTCAGGGTCTCACTACTAGATCAGACTTGTAGTGATTCTCCTGCTTACAGCCTCCCAAGAGCTGGGATTAAGGCACATACTACCACGCCCAATCTCAATTGCTGCCGGCATGGCAGCCCAGGGAATCAAATCCTGGCCCTTTGGCCAGCCCTAGGATATTCCTCTTTATTCTTGGTTCCTTGAGAGTTTCTTCATAACTCTGTGTTGAATTTTGAGCTTTGATCTAATGGATTAGATTAATATTTGAATGATAAACCAGATTTACATATTTAAAATAAATCATACTTGAATGTGGTATATGTTTTTTATACATTGTTGGATTTAATTTACTTAAGAAATTTTTATCCATATTCATGGTAATATTAGTCTATATTTTTCCTTTTTAGTAATATCTTTGGTTTTGGTGCTAGAATTAATTAATTAAGAATTATTCCCCCTGCTTCTACTTTGTGTAACAGATTATAGATAACTGGTAGAATTTCTTCTTTAAATGTTTTGTGTGAATGTAGAGTTGTCCATAATATTGTTTTATTTTCTTTTTTATGTCTCAAGGACCAGAAGGAAAGACCTTTCTTCATTTCTACAATTAGTAATTTATTCTTTATCTCTCTCTCTCTCTTTTTGATTTGAGTTTTTATTTAATAATTTTAAAGAATTTGCTTGTAATTGCACTGATTTTCTCAAGTACTTATTTTTAAAATTTTACCGATTTCTAATCTAATTTTTGTTATTTCTTTATTTTTTGTTTTCTTTTTGTAATTTCCTAAAGTAAAACCTCAATTTATTTCTTTTATATCACTCTTCCTTTTATGATAAATATATATTCAAGGCCAGATATATCCTCTAAGTCTTGTTTTCACTGTTTGCCACAAATTTTGATAAACTGTATTTTCATTTCATTCAAAGTATTTTAAGTATTTTAAGAGTCCTTTGACCTATATGTTACTTAAGAATGTTTATTTCCCAAATGTTCTAGAATTTTCATTCATTTTTAATGAGTTTTAGTTTGATTTTATTGTGTTCTGAAAGCATATTTTGTTTGATACCTCTTCTTTTAAATTTGTTAATATTAGGGCCAGCGAGATAGCTCAGCAGACTAAGTGCCTGCACAGGAGAATCACTGTGAGTCTGAGTTGTGTAGTGAGACCCTGTACCAAATACATTAAATAAATAAATAAATTTGTTAATGTTTGCTTTATGTTCCAGAACATAGCCTATTTGGTGATCATCCCATAGGGTTTGAGACGAATGTATATGCTGCTGACGGGGCAGAAAGTACTCTAGAAATGCGAATTACATCAACCTGATAAATGGTGCTGTTCAGTCCAGTTATATCCCTGCCGATTTTCTGCTTGCCACTGTATGCCAAGTACTGATAAAGGGATGTTGAAGCCTACGACTTAATAGATCTCCTTACAATTCTCATGCTTTTGTCTCACACATGTTGACTCACTTTTAAATACACAGCTTGAATACTGTTATGTCTTTCTGGAGAACTTCCCACTTTACATACATTACATTATTTATTATTTTTGTTACCCACAATCAAACTCAGGACCTTGTGCTTGCCAAACAGGTACTGTGGCACTTAGCTATATCCCTGGCACAAGGATAAATAATAAATTATTTATTCTTGATAATTTTTTCTTGTTCTATAGTTGGCTCTGTCAGAAATTAAAATATCTATTGCAGTTTTATTTATTGTTATCATGGTATATATTTCTCTACCCCATTACTTTTAATCTGTGTTTTAATTTGGAATTTTTTGCATGCAATATGTAGTTGGATCTTACTTTTTATGTTTTTTAATTGGTACTTAAATCATTAATATTTTAATGGACTAGTAACATTACTGGCTTAATATCGACAATGTTTATAAAGTTCTCTGTCTGTCTCTCTCTCTCTCTCTCTCTCTCTCTCTCTCTCTCTCTGTCTCTCTCTCTGTCTCTCTGTCTCTCTCTCTCTTTGGAGGAACCAGGGATTGATCTCAGGCCCTTGCACTTGCCAGGGAAGCACTTATTCTACTGAGCCATCTCCCTGGCCCCAAGTTTTCTCTTCATTGCTTTTATTTTGCTTCCTTTTAAGAAATCTTGACTTTTTTCTCGTCTTTCTGGTTTTTAAGTGAGCATGTTATAATCTCATTTTCTTTTTTCTTAGCACATTATTTATGCTTCTTTTTAAAAAGTAGTGGTTGCCCTTAATTCAATTTTATAGTATACATTTGCCACTAATTTACTTCAAATACTACTCTTCCTGGTATTATAGGTACCTTTCCTTAAATAGAGTTTAAGGAAAACTGTAGATAGTGTACTTCAGCACTATGCTTAGGACCAATTTGAAAGGTGAAATCACCAACAAAAATTAAGAGACATGACATTTTTTTGCAGTATGAGAATTAAATCAAGGCAGCAGAGGTGAATCTTGCTCTATCGCAGCTCATTTTCACTGATCTATACAGACCCATGAAGGACTAAGAAAGAGCCACAGGTATGTATTGAATTGGGGGCTACAAAAAATCTTACCAGTCTATAAACATATATCTACCAAACCCATAAATGAGGATCAACAATTATACTTGCAGAATTGTTAATCTGATGTTATGACAAACATTTGTAAGTTATGATTATTAGCAAGTGTCCTTAACTATTGTGATTCTGAGCCATGTAAGGTAGGGAATTTCTGTGTAAAATTTGGAAAGGTTAAAATATGTATCTGACTAATATACATACCTCTGTGGATTTTCTTCTTATCTGAAGGCACATTAGAGATTTGGGGAGGTAAGGGTCTTCGAAGAAGCTGTGGATACTGTTCCATTTTAATTAATAATAAGCAATGTTTTTCATAACTACCAGTTAAGCAAGGGCTGAAAGGTTTTTGAGTATGTTTGAATTGTGGCTGAAAAGGAATTATTAAAATTTAGATTACATATTTGAAATCATTCTGTTAATAATATCCTGAGTCCAAGCAAAATTTCTTAATAAGAAAAACGCATACACTAGTCTTTTGAAATTTAGTTTATAGTTAATACAGCACATCAGAATCATTCCAAAATTTCCCATATGTCAGTGGAAAATTCAATCTGCCAATACTGTTTCAACCAACTTTGTTTAACTGTAAAGATGGTATTTCTTGCACTACCTCCCAAATGTTATCACATTTAAAAAGAGTTTTTGGCCAAAAAGTTATGGAAGAATCCATTATACATGCCTCTGAAGGCCGACAGTATCTGACCACAAATAAATTGTTTTCTTACTATAATAACAACTTATTTTAAAACAGCATAGTTGGGGCATTACCGTGTAACACAAAAATTAGATGGGGTGCAGTACAGCGCAATTTCCTAGGATCACTGGGATTCCCACTTACCGCTGTTTATAAAGATGAAAAAAGATGCATCCTTAAATGCACATTTAGCTTGCAGGGCAACCTCACAAGTGCGTGGCACACCTGCACTCCATTGACAGCTAGAAGGGAACCTGGGACTGCACGAATGGATCTTTATCCTCATAAGATAACTTTGCCCACAAGCGCTCAAGCTTCGTGCCTTTGAGGTACCTCCCACTTGATGCTAATAATTTTCCTTCCCTAGTGTCAGAAGAGATGCCTAGAAGCTCTGGACCCTAGTCAGCAGCTTCTCAAATCAACCAGGTTTTCCTCTTCCACCTTTTTCCTCGGAATTTAGAACGTTAAGGAAAGGTCCAGTGAGGTTCTAGAGCAGAAGGGCCCACTGCCCAGCAACAGACCGTAGCAACCAGCAACGCTAGGTGCTGGACCCGCCCGGCTCCTGGGGGGCGCAGGCGCCGAAGGGCCGGGGGAGGTTAGCAGGTCCGAACAGGCGGCAAAAAA